TAGAAGGGACGGCCTGCGAGAGTTTGCTAATCACAAAGTCGGTAACTATCCAAGAGCTGCTGCTTATGAAACTCTACCAGAGGAAATACAACATAAGCACATCAGCCAACTGGACTACCCTCCTTGAACAGCACGGGAATTGGGCTAGATCGCAGTTGGTAGCCAGGTTAGGATTAGGGTACCGGTTAATGGTGTCCGGGTTAGGGTTATGTACTTAAGGCTTAGGTTTTCGGGTTACGGTTAGGGTTTGAGTTTATGATTAGGTTTGAGTATTACGGTTTGGTTTTAAAATTATGGCTATGTCTAAGGGCTACGGTTACGTTTACGATTTCGGTTTGGGTTAACGTTTAAGGTTAAGGTTAGGGTTAACGTTAAGGCTAGGATTAGGGTTAAGGTCGCCGTCCGCTTCCCCATTCCTGGCTACCAACTGCGATCTAGTCGGGAATTGGTATTCTTCCTGGAATTAAGCGCAGGGACACACGTAATACCACATATAGTTCTAACGGCAAAACGAGGAGAAAGTGGCCTTCGATCAGCGTCACATATAAGTAATGTATTCTGGTTGGAAATTCGTGAGGGCTATGGCTGCCTCTCTTCACCATTTTTTGTTGACATCAGCGAGACGGAAGTGCCCTAATTGTCGCATCCCCTCCCCGCATGGTTTAGCGAGGGACAGAACCTTTACATGATATGTTAGGCAGTATTATAAATGGTAGAAGGGCGCTCATCGATTGTGTTATGGAACTCACTCGTCCCGTTGTGTCTTGGGGCTCTCTCTCTCTCTCGAGTCCAGCCAGCAGCCTCACAGGGCGCGTACTAAAGGCAGATTAACATTACCGACAAGGAAAAGGGAGACTAGTGTCGACAGGGCAACGAGCCCGTGGCCCAGTGGTTAGGGACGTTGAACTTCTAACTATCAGATTGTGGGATCGAGTCTCAGGTAGTCCGCACTTTGAGGTTTGGCATGACTGGCCGACGACGACTATTAAGCTAGAAATAGTCATTCCAGCCTCCCTGGTCTTCGTTGGCAGCATTATTCTGCCTAGAATGTTATGAGTATTGTATGAGACTCAACGTCGTGAATTCACCGTTCAGGATGTCATGACGCGTCAAAATGTTAACCTGTTCGCATGAACCTGAAATTTTTCCATTTAGCTGTTAATGTGAACTATCTACCGCTGGGACCCATGATTCAGTCGTCTGCAATCAGGACTGTCCGTAGTCACATCAGACCCTTGGTTCAGCCTAATCGTTTAAGGTCATTTGCTGAAACAATGTTGCACTAAAGGCACCCGATAAGTGTAGAACTTCCGTAAGCACACGCCAGTTTATGCCTTAAGAATGGGTGTCGCTTTGGACATCGAGCCTTGGAAATGACAGGTAAAGTGTATGATCCCGGAGTTATTGACAATCACGGTTAAGGTGGTAGGTCAGGTCGTCACGACTTCTCTCTTCCTCCCTCTATCCCTCTCGCTCTCACGAAGAGAAGCCTTAATTCAGTAAGCTGCAAAAAATGAAGGTTCCGTCTGGAAAACGCAGACTTGCAAGGCTTTCTGACTAGCGAGCATACTTTAATTGCTCTCCATGTGCGTAGTGAATTTCCACCCAAGGTGCCTCTTTTTCATCACAGTATATACCAAAGCAAACAGAACCCGTCAGGCAAAACTGAAATAACAGCAAGCTGTCTTCAAAAGAAGCAACCTGCTACTTGAGTTGCTGACTCTAGGTGAACAATGAGGAAGAAAAAGTGATCGTTATTTAACAGAAACAGAAGTCAAATTTGATCTCTCGGCCGAGGGAAAATGTCTGTCTAGGCAAAAGAGAAAGGTCGCGTTAAGTGTGATGGCGAAATAAACTAAAATAATGAAACGCAAAGCAAAACGAGGCATAAAATCGAATGCCAGGCAAAAGAGGAGGAGATAAGTCGCAGAATGAAGAAAGAAGAAGAAGAAGAAGAAGAAGAAGAAGAAGAAGAAGAAGAAGAAGAAGAAGAAGAAGAAGAAGAAGAAGAAGAAGAAGAAGAAGAAGAAGAAGAAGAAGAAGGCTATTCTGTTGATGGGGCGGACATTGCCAAGAGCTTAGCGGTTCTTTTCACCAAGCACAGACAAACTGTGTCGGGACGCTGGCGAGCCGGAACTAGCACGACCATCTACGGCTTTTCAACGTTGAAGACGCAGACTATTGGGTAGAAGGCGCGATAGAGCGCACGCCTGAAGTGTGCGCCAACAGAAGCCGCACAAAACTGAGGGGTGAGTGCAGGCGGTGATCAAGCGTGTAGACGAAGTTCGCACCTGACTGGCTCGCCAAGTCTGCTAACACACGCCCCACAATAGCCGGTGAACCAATAAGAACTTGCAGCGGATACCACCAACCGTGGGCACGCGTGTGTGCAGTGCGGTGTGCAGTGGAGTCGCACTGCAGTCTGCTTACAGCGGTCCTCAACGGTTTTTTTTGATGTCACCCTCCCCTCACCCCCCACGCGAACATTGCTGCTATTTCAGCAATTCCTCAGTTCATGTGGGTGCAGCCACCCAGGCGCGCAACTCCAGCAACGATGTGCTGTTTGCCGGGCCGACCATCATGGCCTTTTCTCGGCCCCGGTCCAGTCACAGGGTGATTATCCGTAAACCAGCCCATTTTCACCTCGTGTCCTCGT